GTCCAGCGTTCTCCTCACTTTGATTCTAAGCCATGGTTTGATTGTCTCATTTGCTCCCCTGTTTTTGTATGTATGTATTTAGGAAAATACCTATCAGTCTTTCACATTAAATTCCAGTGAAATATATTTATGTTTGTGGTTGTAATGTGACAAAATATGGAAAAGTTCAAGGGGTATGAATACTTTTGCAAACCACTGTATATATATATACACACACACACAAACATAGCCACGTTATTTATGCTGCAAAGCATTCTGGGTAAATGAAACATACCACTGCTCCTGTGCAAGCTCTTTCCAGCTTGAATTTTAATTTTGGATAATATCATTATAAATGGAGGTGCACGGTGTTTACTCCGGAACCAACTTACTAATCATCATGTTTGATCATTTCRACCCATATATTGTGCAGAATAGAGAAACTAATACAAAATATAACTTTGTCACACATTACAGCTTTTTAGCCTCGACTCTGTGTTTTAGTCTCAACTGCAGCTCATCATCATCATACCTAGCATGCATTGCATCGAAAAAAAAGATGAGATGCTTTAATGAAAATGGAAAAAACATACAAAATTTTAGTAATTAGGAGTTTTCATGTGTCACAAAAAAACAAATATTAGTAAAATAGAAAAGGTAATGACATATTAAGACCAACATGTCCAAAAAGCCAGAGATCTGTTTAAAGCCATTGTAAAACTTGTATTCAAAGTGAATTCGGAGGATTTGATTTATTATTTCACCTGTTTGTAGTAATGATTCCTGTCCCGGTTCTTCTTTACCTTCTAGAGCTGTCTGGTGTGCTGCATCAGTGTCACATCCTGGCCTCTGAGATGGTCCACTTCATCCACCAGATGCAGTACTACATCACCTTTGAGGTGAGTCTGGCTGCCGTCAGCAGAAAGTATCACTAACAGACACGTTCTGCTTCGATTAGCGGGAGGTGGTGCTGATTGTTAAATCAGAACTGCAGAAGAAGAGGGTGAAAAGAGGTGGTAGGGTTAGATAGAGAGATAAGATAAGATAAGATAAGATAAGATAAGCCTTTATTGTCATTGTACAGAGTACAATGAAATTACAGTTCACAACACCCATTTAGAAAAAGACAGAACAAACATGGGAGAACAGGTGCCCTGGGTCATGCTGCCACAGACCCTGCATAGATAAGATAAGATAAGATAAGATAAGATAAGATAAGATAAGCCTTTATTGTCATTGTACAGAGTACAATGAAATTACAGTTCAGAACACCCATTCAGAAGAAGACAGAACAAACATGGGAGAACAGGTACCCTGGGTCATGCTGCCACAGACCCTGCATAGAGCAAGGCTCATCTTCATGAAGACATCACGAGGAGGCGCAACCATTAAAAGAAAAACTAAAAACCACACAAGAGAAGGTGAGAGGGAAAAACCATATTATATCAGCATATAACATTTATAATGACAATTGTAGTACAGGGAAACAAAAAGTGTGTTAGAGATGCACTTTTTTGGGCCGATACTGATTTTCTTTTATTGAACTAACCCATACAAACTCATTCAAGATTATCTTCTGTCTTAAAACAAATACATCCTCATAGAAACCTTCTACACAGACAATATGAGCTGTTGTCAACTCCTCATTAAGGGAAGTAGCTGTTTGTTCTAAAAATTCTAGACAACATTTTCTAATTTGCATATTTGGTCATTTCAATGTAATTGATTCCAGCTGTAGGAGATAAATATCAGATAAATACTCTCTCTAAATAATGTTTACAACTCCAACGTTAGTAAAATTATTAATGATTTTAATGATTTGGCTTGAACCATATAATCACAACATTTATCTTTCCTGGACAGTTTCAAGTAAAATATAAAATACAATTTTAGATTTAAATTTATATTTAGGCACTGAAGATAGAAATGCGCTAGAACATTATAATCTAGAACAGTGCATCTTTACTACATCAGGGTTTATGTGATCCTCTATCAATGGTTAATGATGAATAAATAAATACAMAAACTACTGTTATATGTGGTGGAATTACTCTACATTAAATCCTCCTTTATCCAAGCATGGAGCTGGCAGTGACACTCAAACAGAACTATGTGGGGTTTTTGTTTTGTTTTGTTTTGTTTTGTTTTGTTTTTTACGTTCTTCGTCCTGGAGCCAATAATAACTATTTTATGCTATTACTTTTTTACACTGTTTGTAAAGTTGTTTCAACTTGACATTACATATATAAATGGACCAAAAAGAGACAACAGTGAGCAGGGAGTTTGTCTCCTCTCCACTCTCTGGCTCCTGCAGCTGAGCCTCAGGGCTTTGGGACAGAGGAGGGGCCATCACTGAAGATGACTCGATTCACTTTTAACCCATAAAAATTTCCAAACTCACCAGATAAAGTATCTAGATTTKACTCTAGTTTGTTTWAAAAGGCGCTAGAAGTGTTTGGCTAAATCTAGTGAGGAAGTCACTTGATAACACTGACCACATTGCTTGTTTCTGCATCCTGCATTTCTCAGAACTGACCATTTAAAAAACGTGCAAAAACATCTTTATTTTATTTATTTATTTTTGTTCAGCGTGTTTCCAGTTGGAGTCGATCGAGGTGAAACYGGCAGATACTGGTTTCAGGTCGATGGCTTTGTGCAGCCCTAATATTAATGTCCAGAYGCCACTCACAAACTGTGTTCAGGTGCTGGAGTGCTCATGGGATGAGCTGTGGAACAAAGTCCAGCAGGCTCAGGACCTAGACCACATCATTGCTGCCCACGATGTCTTCCTGGACACCATCATATCCAGATGTTTGCTYGACAATAACAGCAGGGTAACAGCTGGTTCTATTTCTTCTATATTTATCTTTCCACCGTTCACCGTAACTTTAATCAACTTCTTTCTGTCCAGTCTCTTTTGAACCAACTGAGGGCCATATTTGACCAGATAATTGAGTTCCAAAGTGCCCAGGACGCCCTCTACCGCTCTGCGCTGGAGGAGCTGACCCTCCGACTGCAGTTTGAGGAGAAGAAGGCAGCCAGGGAGGAGGAGGTAAGAACTGAGAGCGACAGMACACAGAGAGAAAGCAGACTTGTGGTGTAGGTGTGACAGGATCTGACGAGGAGGAGTGTGGTGGTTAATTCAGGGTCAGTGGGGAGTGACAGCTGAACAGGAAGCAGAGGAGAAAAGGAGGATTCAGGAGTTCCAGGACACCATACCAAAGATGAGATCACAGCTCCGAATCCTCACCCACTTCTATCAGGTACCAGCCTCGAGCYAAAACCAACCCCACTTATTAAAGTCAGTGTTTTAACAAGTCTCCTGCTCCTTCTCTCAGAGTATCGTCCAGCAGTTCCTGGTGCTGCTGATGACCAGCACAGACGAGAGTCTGCGCTTCCTCAGCTTCAGACTGGACTTCAACGAGCACTACAGGTTTGTCTGTAAAGTACTCTTATATACCTGTTCTTAATAATAATTAAATATTCACTGGAGAAAACTGGGATCTCTGAGAGCACTTAAAGAAAAACAGTGACTTTTTTGTTTTTGTTCAAAATGTTTTTTTTTTTCTTTTTTTAAACTCTCAGAAGAGCCAGGAGTCAGGTGAGGCTGAAGGGCTGGACATGAACAAAACTAAACTGGTTGTTGATTTAGGACTTARTTTAGCAGAATGTTTGTTTTTGTTTTAGAAAGAGTTGCACAAATGTATTTCTGTTTTAAATTCATTGTTTTTTCCTCTGTCGTGTTCTTCCAGGGCCAGAGAGCCGAGGCTGCGAGTGTCTCTTGGCGCCCCCAGAGGCCGCCGCCTCTCCAACATCTGACGTGACGACTGACAGCCGCCGCCCCCTCCCATCCAGTCTGTCCACGTGAGCGAACGTCACACACGCTTCACCTCCGGATGATGTCGCCGCGTCTCGGAGGCGTGATCCAGACCCTCCCCCTCCCCTACCACAAAGTGATGACATCACTGCTCTGTGTGGCAACATCAGCTGAGCGGAAAGGATTCGCGTCAAGAACTTTTCTAAATTTGCAGGTTATTTAAAGAAAGAARGTGTCTGCATGAAGCGAGAGTTCATCTTAGGAAAACTTTCTGGCTGTGACGAGGATGGAGCTGTCCACGCCACAGAGCGCCTCCTTCCATGGCATGCCTTATCAGTGAGCGAACTGGTTGCCAAATTCAGCCCCGACACACAAAATATTTGTACATAGAGTGTTGCAGATGTGTGTGTATACATGTATGGTTACACGTCGACCCTCTTGGGTCGGATGGGTGTGATGAGCATTTCTTTTCCATTTTGTATTTATAAAAGTTATTATTAAAATGTTGAATTGTAAGTATCATTACAGCTGTTTTGAAAATGAGTTTTTGTCCTCATTAAGGTGGTAGAAACTGAAGGAACCAACAAGAAGATGCGTCTTTTAGCTTCTCAGGTCAKTTAGATCACAACCACATTCAGCAGCTATTAAAACCCCATATTACTGGTAAATTTATTACAGCTTAACCATCAACTTTAAGACCGACTGAAAGGTGTTGCCACTTGTGCATCAGCTAACAAAGTTTTACACTTATTTTGTATTTAGTGGGTTTTTTATGTCCGTGTTTACAAATTGTGTTTTTCTGTCTATGAGGAGGAAATCATGTTGAAGAACCACAGCCACCTCAGAAACCAGAGGATTTCTAAATGTTTGGATGTTTTTAAAAAGTGTAAATATTTCTACTCACAGGTTCAGTTGCTTGTCACGTGAGACTTTTTCTAAATTGGAGTATTTGAATAGGGTTTGCTTCATCTTTGTGCAGAAATAAGGACTTTTTTAAACATAGTTCACAGTTCATGTTTTCAGCACAGACAGAAACATCAAACCAAAGCAAAAAGCTTCCTGTTGGTAAATCCATGTTTCAGTCGAGAACATGGGAAAGACATATTTGTTGGTTCTGGTGACGTTTCGAAGCTAAACATTGGATCAGTCTTAAATGTTGGAGCTCTGGACCAAAGTCAGAGTTTTTAAACCAAGCTGTTGGTTTTATGTGTTAAACTCAGTAAATGGGTTTTCTTAAGCTGTTGCCCTGTGGTGGCGGTATCTGCAGGTTTTCAAACTTGTCTCCTTTTAGTTGTTTTTTCCCCCACTGCAATCAGGATCAATCCATCCCATAATAACCAGTTTAAACTGATCTGATTTAAACTGTGTGAAGTGACTTCCCCGTCTGTATTTTGAGCGAATCAATCGGTGCTGCGTTTGGTCTGCTTTCTGACAATGACTTCCCAAACTGATCCTGGATCAGCACTTGTGTTTGTGCTCTGTACATAATCCTCACTGTATAGCACATAATGTATAAACACTGGAGATGATCTAACCACTTTCCTCTTTAATAAAAACATACTTTTTTAACTTATAAGTGTTCATTTCAAACTGTTTTCTGGGACGTACTGCCACCTGCTGATAGGAAGGGAGATGTTTTACAAAGATAAACACGTGCCAGTATTATATTTACAACTGTGTGACAGACTGATGTTTTATCTATAACTATAATTTCTTATTTTAATGAAGTCTTTGTTGCTATGTAAACAGACAACTTTCTAAAGCCATTATTTTCTGTGAGGAATCATTTCAGCTTTGGTAAGCCAGGCCAAAGCACTAGACTCATCTGGCTCCTCTTGCAGGTGGTGGGTCCACATGGACCCATGTAACACACCCCTCTTCCACTGGTGTACCTTTAAGCAGTTCTCACTGATTCAGCCTCGGCCAAATGTGACTACGTTTCCAGTTCCAACTGGGTTTTTGAATCCGCTCCAGTCGCCTTTCCAGATGGGTGACAGAGTATTGCATGACGGAGCTGCKCGTGGGTAGACTCAGAAAACGTGGTACTGGTAAACTTCTTCCTAGCAAGCCACTTTCAATCCAAGTATGTACAACCTCTGGCAAAAAGTATGGAATCACCAGTCTTGGATGAGCACTCATTCAGACATTTCATTCTGTAAAACAAACTCAGATCAAAAACATGATACAATAATAAGGTCATTCCAAAGTGCAACTTGTTGGCTTTCAGGAACACTCAAAGAAATGAAGAGAAGACATCATGGAAGTCAGTGAATGTTACTTTTATTGACCAAGCACAGGGAAAAAGTATGGAATCACTCAAATTGGAGGTAGAAAATAAGGACACACCCAGTCAATTTCCTTTCCCTAAATGAACACCTGCCTCAGATTAGATCTGCTCATTAGTCTGCAGTTAAAAACACCTGCAGTCATGACACCTTGGAGGGCTGCTGGACGAAGTGGAGAGGCAAGAACCATGGCTCCAACAAGAGAAATGTCTCTTGAAACAAAAGAGGATTCTGAAACTTCTTGAAGAAGGTAACGCTTCACACATGGTTGCTAAAGATGTGGGCTGTTCACAGTCAGCTGTATCCAAGATATGGACCAAATACAAACAGCATTGAATGGTTGTTAAAGCCAACTGTACTGGTAGACCAAGAAAGACATCAAAGCATCAAGACAAACAACTTAAGGCCATTTGTCTTGAAAACTGAAAAAGTACAACTAAATTGAGAAAGCATAAATGGGAGGAAGATGGAGTAAATGAATGTGACCGAACCATAAGAAATCGCCTAAAGCAGTGGTTCCTAATCCTCAAGTACCCCCTATCCAGCATGTTTTACTTGTTTCCAATTTTCCAAGATGACAATGCATCGTGCCATAGGGCAAAAACAGTGAAAGCATTCCTTGGAGAAAGACACATTCAGTYGATGTCATGGCCTGCAAATAGTCCAGATCCCAACCCAATCGAAAACCTGTGGTGGAAATGAAAAAAAAAAATGGTCCACAAGAAGGCTCCGACCTGAAAAGCTAATCTGGCAACTGCTATCAAAGAGAGTTGGCACCAAACTGATGAAGAATACTGTTTGTCACTCATCAAGTYCATGCCTCAGAGACTGCAAGCCGTTATAAAAGCCAAAGGTGGTGCAACTAAATACTGTACTAGTGATGTATTTTGAATGGTCTTTTGTTTATCTGTTATTCATGATTCCATATTTTCCTCAGAAATGAGTGATTCCATATTTTTTCCCTGTGCTTGGTCAATAAAAGTAMCATTCACTGACTTCCACAATGTTTTCTCTTCATTTCTTTGAGTGTTCCTGAAAGCCAACAAGTTGCACTTTGGAATGACCTGATTATTGTATCGTGTTTTTGATCTGAGTTTGTTTTACGGAATGAAATGTCTGAATGAGTGCTCATCCAAGACTGGTGATTCCATACTTTTTGCCAGGGGTTGTAGCAGATGAGATTGTGAAGTCCAAAGCACAGATAATCCCCTGGGTCTACCCTTGAGGTGCAAATATTTTTTGCAATTCTAGAAGGGGAGCACATACAACTAGAGTTTGATGGAGCAGTCTGAAACAACCAGGAGGTTTGCACAACATGGCAGTCCATGTTGTGACACTTATGAACCGTGTTGTAACAAATTTAAAAAGATGAAGCCAGACTACCTCACAAAAAAAGACCACAACGAATGAAGTGGTAACAACTGGAGGTGGTTTGCAGAGATGGATACATGTTCACGGGCTTTGTTTGGCAAAAACAATCTGGGTGAACTCAACCGAGTGRGTAGCAGCCTGATCACCAACGAGACCCTCTACCAGGCTTGGCTTCTGTTCATACCAGTATTCTGAGTCACTGTCTAGCTCAGGGGTATTCAATTAAAATTTAAAGAGGTCCAGTCAGAGAACATTTTGAGACCAAGGTCCGGAAGATCAAAATGTCAGACTGATATATGTGTGTGTGTTTGTGTGTAGCTATTATTGTATCAACATCTGCATGCATTGAAATGAATTCACTCTTATTCAAAAACTTACAATATTTATTGTCACGAAGCACAAAGTTGAACATTTACGTCTGATTTCTGATGTTCTCATTTACTGAGCAAATGTAGGATAACATGTCAAAATAAGAACTTGGGCAAAAGGACAACTGTAAATGTTCACAAGTGACTAACCAGTCATAAAAAAATGGAGGAAAAGGTTGATTTACATTTTTGTGTTTAACACCTGGACTGAACTGTCTCAAAATATTTAAAGAATTTAAATCTGAACACATTTAAAAACAGAACATTTTTATGCAATCCCTTATTTATTTTGTGCTCAGTGAGAGAAGTGAGCTCTTGCTCGTCCTGCCAGAATTT